GCTCTCAATGCAAGTGTTATAAATAAATAAAGAATTACAAAACAGTTTAATTATTTATTAGACGACTTTTGCGGCGGAAAAACAAAGTATATTATGTGGAATTTTCATAGGTACCTACTGTTATTACCTAGATACCTACAATCTACAATACAACAAAATGTCACAAAACCTCGCCGCGTCGTGGCCACAAAATTGTAAACTTTAGGTAGGTACGTCAGTACTAAGAAAACAATCTTGATGGGTCACTTGTCTTGATAAAAACCTGTGCTTACGTTTAGTGATATTGAGTATATATAAAAAAAGCCAGGTAAGTAAGTATTTTTGAAAACAATTTATAGGTAGGCAGAGCAATTACGATTATTATCTAAATATTATAAATGCGAAAGTTTGGATATTTGGATGGACGGATGGATGGATGTATGTTACTCAACCACGCCAGAACGGCTGAAGGGATCTGGATGATATTTTGCTCAGAGATAGGCTATAGTCCGGAATTTTTTTTTTCAAAAAAACGTTACCCCACACTAGGATTTTCTCCTGTATCGTGGAGGCAGTTTACAAACATCCAGACCCGGAACAATTATTTGTAGACCATACAAATACTTGTTCGATTGATTCGAACCCGCGGCTCCCAGTACAACAATTCATTGCTAAGCCACTGCGCCACGGAGCTGCCAAATATCATATATCATACCGTTTATTCAGGTATTTCGTTGCCGTGGGATAATTATCGAGTTACACACGTTCGAAGCCGAACTCTTGAGTGATTGCTGCATGACCACTCGGGGAAAACTAAACATAATAAAATAAGCAATCTATATTAGGTATATAGAGCCACAGAGGTATACCTAATAATTTCGCGGTTTCACCCGCGTCATCACGTGTCCGAGATGCGTGGCATGACATGACACCTAGTTCAAGCATTTTATAATTGCAATCAAATATTTTATTTTATTGTAATGTATGGAAAAATTGTCATGATTAATGGAGTACTTTTATTTTATCTGTCGGCATATTATGCGCGGTTTTTTCCAGTTTTAAAGAAAAACGTACACGATTCATGAAAAGTGTGTAGGCAAGAAATGATTCTTGATAAATTTGCTATCAACCTCTTATACTTATTAATTAATTAAATTTAAACTTTCAAAATACCATAGCAACGTGAAATGAAAGAGTTCAGAAATAAAGATGTAACTAATCATTGCTACGCTCACCCGGGAGATAGATAAAAGTACTCAATTAATTTTGAATTTATTTTAGCTACTAGCTGTACCCCGCGACTTCGTCCGCGTTTAGTTTAGGGCGTTAATATTGTTGCAAAGACACCTAATAATTTTTCTAAAATTTAAGCAGGCTAAGTTACTTCTTATAACATGAGCTATCTACTAGTGAAAGTCCCGCCCAAGTCGGTCCAGCCGTTTTGGAAATTAACCGCAACAAACAGACTGACAGACATACAAAAATGTTAAAAATTGTGTTAATGTTATAAGTACCGTATACAGTTTCATACGCAATTAGTAAAAAGCTGTTATTTTGACATTACAAACAGACACTTCAATTTTATTTATTTGTGTATATATAGATAACGATTGAACTAACGGCTAACCTAACCTCGCTCATAGAAGCTTTCAATAGTGGCTTCTCAGTTCGCACCGGGCTAGGGGTTATGCGATGTTTGCGCGTCAAGCCAAGTAGGTATTGAATTATTTTAATTTTATATTATCTCTTACTATATAAACATGGTATAAAGAACGAAGTTTATCTTCATAAAATTGTCTTGATAATGAAGTAACTTTCGTTCGTAAGGTGCCTAATAATTAAATTTTCATTTTTTTTGTCACAAAACGCCTAATTGTGGCTTATATATAAGAAATAGACATATGGTATCGCGGACTTTTTTTAGACGGAGTAAAGATCTATATTTTTCTAGAACATTGTATTTACGTATCCCGAACCATAACAGCGCTTTTTCTTCTGACTTCCTTAAATATAGGCTAGCTGAGATATATAGCCTAATGCTGTATAGCCTATACTATTCAACATGAATCTGGCTATAATATCCAAAAAAAGATTTTTCAAATCGGCCTGGTAGTTCCAGAGATTAGCACACAAACAAAAACCCTCTTCTGCTTTATTATATTAGTATAGATGTTGCATCGTGTTCGTGTAACTTCGTTTTTATTCTAACGGTTCGGAACACCGTACGAACAAGACATGCGTGAATACTAGTGTCGATATGCTCATCACTGATACTATCTCTGTCGGGCACGATGCCAGGTGAGACAGCGTGCTTTTTGGCCGCGCCCACCAGCGAGTTCGAGCCCGCGACTTGTGCCACCTTAAGCTTTGCCGCCATATTAAACCAAAACTAGAAGGAAAACAGAAACAAAAACACAAAGTCGTATACTATAAATTATTTCATAAGAAAATAATAGCAAACAAGCTTTGGCAATAATTAGGAACACTTCAAAAAATCAACTTAAAAAAAAAAAAACTAACTACACTGCACAATACTAAAAACGATTAAAATATTAAATACAAAAGTCAACTATCAAAATGGTGTCTATAAACCAACGCCGTTTTGACCCTTTATTATTTGATAGACTGATGAAGAGCTGTCGTATCACGGAGCCAACTATGTAAACAAGGCTGTAGTTTTTGAGTTATATGAAAGTGACAATATTAACCGGACGACCTTATTACCCTCACGTACTATATTTGATGGTAGGATTTTTTTCCTGACTAGGATACCTAATATCTATGGTCAAATAGTAGTGCTTGCTTTATTGTGTTCCTGTCGGAGGAGTATAGAGAGTCAATGTAATTACAGGCTGTGACATATTCCGTCTTAGTCTTCAGAGTAGCACCTAGCATGCAGAATAGCTTCAGAGACGTATCAGAAACCTTCTTTGTTTGAAAGAGGTTGCAGGTGTCCATACACAGCAGCCCGTTACCATAAGGTGGAGGGTTATAAATTCGTTTGTCAACTTAGTTTTTTAACGTGGTAGAGCCATGCTGCAGCTGTATTACTGGTATAGTTGTAGCACGAATGTGTCGACTCGACCGGGAAAGGACCACGCTCACAGAATACTAGCGTAAAATAGCTTAACGCTGCTGTGTTTCGTATGGTGAGTGTAGAGAACGAGAGACCCTTTTTACTGGAAACGAGGCATTATATCTTAGTTATCACGGGTGACAACGCATCTTCATTTTGATTCGTAATCGAGGATAGATGTAGATGTCTATGGGCCGCAGCAACCACTTACCATCAGGTGGACTGTGTGCTCGTGTCACCCTTATCTTATAAAAAAATAATCTTGGTTTTATTTCATTTAACAGTGTTTTAAATTATATTCTATTGAGGCCAGATGAAACACGACGATTTTTCCGGTGGGATACGACTTAGGGACCTTCAAGAAAAGAGCTTACTTCTTTCTAAAAGGCCGGCGACGCACCTGCAATTCCCCTGGTGTTGCGGTTGTTCATGGCCGGCGGTAGTCACTTGCCATCAGGTGAGTCGTATGCTCGTTTGCGCCCTCTACTATGAAAAAAACTCCCGTAAAATTCAATTTTATTATTGTTTGTGGAAAAGCAAGGCAAGAAAAAATCTAACTACATTTATTCGTTCCTTGCTTTTATTTTAATTTTTCATTTTATAAGGAACTGGTAGCAGTAGGGTTGCGTGTAATTATATCGTATGAAATGAGGTAAATAATATATTTGCCTTAGCATATTCAGCCCAACCATTTTTCGGCTGGTTACCGTCACAGCGGTGGTCCTGAGAGAGTCGTTGGCGCTTCATTAAATGCAAACAATCTGGCACGCGGCACAATTATAAATGCCCGGCGGCACAGCGGCTTGGGAACTGAGATATCGCCTTTTATTACTCGTATTTACTAATAAGTACCTAAAGCTTTATGTGAAATTTTATCTAATTGGTTTGCAGAACATAGTGACTTCAAATTTATCCTATAATTGCTACAGCTGTGGATTGTTTTAATGCTGACGAAGAGGAGGAAGGATGAAATATTGTAACTTTTCTAAACACAATGGTAAGACGAGCGTCATGTAAACAACAACTGTAACTTACTCCGAGTAATGGCTTACTGCCTCTGTTTAATATTTTGTATGTGTAAACTTTACTTGACGCTTCCATAGATGGCGTTGGGATCTAAATAGATCGCACTAGGGTTTCGTTGCTAAGAAAACCATGTATATGTTTATTTTTATTTTGGTTGTGTTGAGATTCCTTGTGAATAAAGTTACCGTAATTGAAGCAGTTGTGTGTTTCATTCTGTGTTCTCGCCTTCGGACCTTGGAAATCTGATCATGGTCCTTCGAATCGGATTGGCGTGAAGGTGTTTTTGGTAGTCATCGGTGGTGGTGATTATCACCCGCAACGTTAGTACTGGGCAGTGGATTGCTGTCCAGAGCATCCCTACAGCGAGGCGTCAGCGGTGACGTCATCGAAGCAGAGGATCCGGCTGGATGCCGGAGGAAGTGACGTTGCGTGGAGGAGCCAGGCAGAAGAGTTCGCGGAGCGGCCACAAGAGGGCGCCACAAGTGCAGCGTGAGACGTCGAGTGCTGATCAGTGTCGGTGAGAGTACAGTGAAGCAATTGTGAGTACATTTTCGACCTTATTAATAGGAAGAATTTAACTTCAACAATTCAAGAAAGTGCATTGAAATTTAAACCTTAAATTCACTAGATAATTAACTTAGTCGTTGGTAATATTAGTTTGAACTTGTATTTATTTTAAGTAAAAAGTGGTATAGACGGGGAATCCATGCCCGATTTTACTCAGAAATACAAGTTTAAAACACTTGTAAAATTTTAATCGTTACAAAAGGACTTAGAAAAATATCGGAGTGCTTCAAGTAAATTTAGATTTGTTTAAAGTTTTTTTTTTTGAAAGTGTTTAGTGGACAATAAGTTTATTTATATAGAAATTTGTGTATTTTATTTGTGACATAACCTACTTGTGTTTTTTTTTCTTAAAATGGAGTCCCTTATTGACATTCAGGAAGACATTAATGCTAAAATGCTCAAGTCAAAATCTAACTTTAAAAAATGTCCTAAAGAACGTCTAACTGTTTGTTATATAGAAACTAGGATTGAAAACTTAGAACAGCAATGGCAATTATTCTACAAAACACATGTAAAATTAATTAGCGAGGTAAAAAAGTCTGATTTATTTAATTCAAATTATCATAAGAATGGCTTATATGATGAGGTGGAAGAGTTTTATATACAGTTTAAAAGCGAGTTGAAAGAAATATTAAATAATGTTAAAATGTCTAGTGAAACGTGTAATGTTAGTCAAGGATCTAGCTGTAGTACAGAATTTAGAAACTTTAAGTTACCTGAGGTTAAGATACCCGTGTTCTCTGGAAATTATAGTGAGTGGCAGACGTTTAGGGATTTATATTTAGGGTTAATACATAATAATAAAACTCTAGATGGTGCACAGAAATTATATTACCTTAAAGGGTACTTAACTGGAGATGCAGAACAACTATTAAGAAACATTAATGTAACATCGGATAATTATACGGCTAGTTGGGAAAAATTAGAGTCAATGTACAACAATAAAAGATTTTTAGCAAAGGGAATTTTAAAACGTTTGTTTAATCAAAAGAGTTTAACTGTAGAATCAGCTACTGAAATAAAAAGATTACTTAGCACTACATCTGATTGCTTAGATTCAATAAAAAATTTAGGGATAGATGTAACTTCTTGGGACATCCTAATAATACATATTGTTAGTGCCAAGTTGGATAGGGACACCAGGAAAGCCTGGGAATTAAAGGTGGCTTCAGATTCCACGGATGATTTGCCTACTTTTACTCAATTTACTGCCTTTTTAACTAGCCGTTTTCGTGGCTTAGAAAGTATAGAAAATAAACCTCATGTTCAAAGGAGTTCGCAATCGTTTCATGTAGTAGAGAAAGGAAAAGCGGAGTTATCTTGCCCTTTTTGTTCTGCCGCTCATAAGGTAACTGCGTGTAAAGGTTTTGCTAAAGAACATAACGATACTCGACGTGATTTCGCACAGAAAAATGGGCTATGTTTCATTTGTTTGGGTAGTAACCACTCTGCCAGATTTTGTAGAAACACCGTCAGATGCCATTTATGTAAAAGACGCCACCATACTTTATTGCACCCTAGCGGTGGTTCTGGGTCTGTTGGTGAGGGCACGGGCGTTGTTCATAAGGAAACAGTGCCAGCTGCTACTAGGAATATTACCTCAATGGAGGAAACTCAAAAGACTGCTGTACAAGCGGAGGGATCTACTAAGCCAATAGTTTCATGCCTTTCGACAGGAAATTGTAAGGAAACGGTTTTAATACCTACGGCTTTAGTAAAGGCCAGGTCAAAGGATGGAACATATCGTTTAGTTCGCGCATTAGTAGATCAAGGGTCACAAGGATCTTTTATCACGGAATCAATGGCTCAATATTTAGGGTTAAAGAAAATTTTAACTAAACACCGGGTTACAGGTGTAGGCGGTAATAAAACAGTTATGTCTAATTCTTCCGTAGTTGTTGATATACGTTCTCGAGTGAATCCAGACTACAACGTTCAAGTTAATGCTTATGTTTTGAAGTCTATCACATCCCTTCTCCCAGTTGTAACAGCAACTCGGGTAGAATGGGTAAAATTGAATGAAGACGTTTTAGCAGACCCTGAGTATCACAGGCCTAATAAAATTGACGTCTTATTAGGTGCTGAGATATTCAGCCAAATTCTTCAAAATGGAATCCAAAGGAGTACTAGTGGATCGCTTGTAGCACAAGAAACAGAATTAGGATGGATTCTTTCGGGTGTTGTCGGTACAGAAGGTTCTTCCTTTATTAATTCATATCCTTGTATCACTGTCATGCATTCCAATGTTCAAGCTGATGACTTCTTACGTAAGTTCTGGGAGATAGAAGCGGAACCATCGGGAACTGAAAAAATACTTAGTAAAGAGGAAGAGGAATGTGAGAATATTTATACAAATACCACAAGGCGAGACAAAACTGGACGTTACATTGTAAGGCTGCCGTTCCGGGGTGGTAACCAAAGTTGTAAGGATGGTGAATCTAGGTTCATATCTGAAAAAAGGTTAAAGAGTTTAGAATTTAAACTTTCAAGGAATCATAAATTAAAGGCAGATTACACTGCGGTGATGCAGGAGTATATTGATCTTACCCATATGGTAAAGGTATCTCCAGAAGAAAAGAATAAAGGGTTGTACTTACCTCATCACGCAGTACTCCGGGAAGATAAGCAGACAACTAAGGTGCGCGTGGTATTTGACGCTTCCTGTAAAGGAATAAATGGGGTATCGTTAAACGATAACTTGATGGTTGGGCCGACATTGCAAGCAGAATTACGACATACGGTTATGCGTTGGAGAACACATCCAATTTGTATAGGTGCTGATATAATTAAAATGTATAGACAAGTTCTTGTCAATAGAGATGATACAATGTTTCAGAGGGTTCTTTGGAGGGATAGTCCTGAAAAGGAAATTGAAGAATTTGAATTAGTGACGGTTACATTTGGTACTTCATCAGCGCCATTTCTAGCAGTGCGTTCTTTACATCAGGTTGCTTATGATGAAGGGAAGGATCATCCATTAGCAACAAAAATTATTCTTAACGATTTCTACATGGATGATTTAATGACGGGGGCAGAAAGTGTAGACGAAGGATATAAAATTCATACAGAAATAAAAAATATTCTAGCTAAAGGGGGATTTCAATTGCAAAAATGGATAAGTAACAGCGAAGAATTACTAAGCAAGATAAGAGTAAGCAAAAGGGATAAGGCTGAAGAAGTAAAAATAAAAATAGATAATATTACTAAAATACTCGGACTTACCTGGGATCCTTGCGCTGACGTTTTCCAGTACTCTGTAGAACTGCCTCTCCCGACGGAACCTGTAAGTAAAAGGAAAATTATATCGGATATTTCTAGGCTTTTCGACCCGTTAGGGTGGTTGTCACCTACTATCATTTTAGCTAAAATTTTGATACAAAAGCTATGGTTAGCAGGTATAGGTTGGGATGAAGAAGCGCCCAGTATTTTATTAAAGGAATGGAATACTTACCGCAAAGACTTAGCTTCTTTAGTGAATGTTAAAATCCCACGTTGGGTTAACACTAAATCCAGCAATGTAAAGACGGAACTACATGGGTTTTCAGATGCCTCAAAAATGGCGTACGCTGCAGTGGTATACGTCAGAGTTATAGATGCAGAGGGCAACATTCAAGTGGCGTTGGTTACCTCCAAAACCAAAGTTTCTCCGATCAAACAGGTGTCAATACCTAGGTTAGAACTATGTGGAGCCGTTCTATTAGCTAAGTTGATGGTGGACGTTGCGAAAACTCTAGATATAAATGTATTAGATGTGCACGCTTGGACGGATTCCGAAGTTGTTCTCGCATGGCTTAATAGCCATCCTAGCCGTTGGAAAACGTTTGTGGCCAATCGCGTTGCAGAAATCTTAAATACATTGGATACCCATTATTGGTCATATGTGCCATCTAAACACAATCCCGCGGATTGTGCCTCTCGCGGCGTGGCTCCAGGAGAACTCTGCAATACTGCGATATGGTTCAATGGACCCGAGTTTTTAAGGCAATCAGTGATAGAATATAAAAAACCTAAACACTTGATTACTAAATTGGAGGAAGTAAAGGTCCATTCAGGTGTCCTTGACATTTCGTTTTGGGAGAGGTTTTCATCGCTTTCAAGGATGATCAGGGTAGTAGCTTACTGTAGAAGGTTCTTGCACTTAAGAATCAAATGTGCCAACAAGGAAAGAAATAAACAGTTGTCGACGAAGGAACTCGAGGAGGCAATGGAGGTATGCATTAGAAAGGGTCAAGAAGAAGAGTTACGAGAAGAAATACAACAACTTAAGAAGACGGGATCGTTAGGTAAAAAGGGAAGAAAGTACAAATCGCTAAATTTATTTTTAGACTCAAAGGGGATAATTAGAGTAGGAGGTAGATTAGAGATGTCTCAGTTGAGTTATGATTGCAAACATCCTATACTTGTACCTAAAGATTCCTTCCTCGCTAAGCTTCTCTTAAGCGAGGCTCATCTTAAAACGATGCATGGGGGGCCTCAAGCTATGATCGCTTACTTGAGATCTCGATATTGGGTTGTAGGGATTAAAACTTTAGTAAGGGCCTATTTTAGAAAATGCGTTACTTGTATAAGATATACAAATAAAGCCAGAAGCCAACTAATGGGACAGCTACCATCTGCTCGTGTTACACCAAATAAAGTTTTTCTGTACAGTGGCGTCGATTACGCTGGCCCGATAAACATCAGAGTGTCTAAAGGACGCGGTAATAAGTCGTACAAGGGGTATGTCGCACTCTTCGTCTGTCTATCTACGCGGGCGATTCATATCGAAGCAGTCAGTGACATGACTTCCAAGGGTTTCTTAGCCGCTTTTAAGAGATTCGTCGCAAGGCGTGGACATTGTGCAGAACTACATAGTGACAACGGCACAAATTTTGTTGGCGCTGCGCGAGAGCTGCAGGAATTATTTAATGAAGAAAAATCTAAATTGATTCCCGAACTGGTTGAGTGTTTGGCAAATAATGGCACAAAGTGGAACTTTATTCCTCCCCACGCTCCTAACTTTGGAGGTCTATGGGAGGCAGGAATAAAGTCTACCAAATACCATCTCAGAAGGGTTATAGGGAACTCTACATTAACGTTCGAGGAACTAACGACGGTGTTGGCACAGATTGAGGCGTGCCTCAACTCGAGACCGCTTTCTTGTGTTGACCAAAATGAGTTAACGGTATTAACTCCGGGTCATTTTCTGATTGGGGAACCACTCGTTCTTGTACCTGATTCAAATTACGAAAAGGCTAACATTTCTAGTCTCAGACGGTGGCAACTTACCCAAAGAATGGTACAGGACTATTGGCGGCGGTGGTCACAAGATTATTTAAATCAATTTTTACAACGACATAAGTGGGCTCACCAAAATCCAGAGCCGGCCATAGGTTGCATAGTTCTAGTAAAAGAGGATGATTTACCTCCTGGTAAGTGGTTACTTGGGAAGATTGAGTTAAAACATCCTGGCCCTGACGGAATCACTCGAGTCGTTACTGTTAAAACTAAAAATTCTCTCATAAAGAGACCTATTACCAAATTAGCTATTCTTCCTGTAGCATCATAAATTTAGTGCTTCTAAGGTATAATTTAATAATATGTATTGTTTAGGATGATGTTATAGGATGTACCTAGTTTGTAAGCATTACGAAATTGTTTTTTTTGTTGTTTTGTCATTTGTATACTTTGTATTATTATATTAAAATTTTGTATCAGCGCTCCCCATATCACTAGACATGATGTTGCATGGTGGGCGGTTTAGATTAAGAGAAGGACATTATTCAATATGTCCTTGGTGGGCGGTATGTTTAATATTTTGTATGTGTAAACTTTACTTGACGCTTCCATAGATGGCGTTGGGATCTAAATAGATCGCACTAGGGTTTCGTTGCTAAGAAAACCATGTATATGTTTATTTTTATTTTGGTTGTGTTGAGATTCCTTGTGAATAAAGTTACCGTAATTGAAGCAGTTGTGTGTTTCATTCTGTGTTCTCGCCTTCGGACCTTGGAAATCTGAACAGCCTCTCTTTGAAAGTTACGTGACATTAGGTATAGAAATGTTCATCATCATCATTTTTTTATAGAATAAGGGTGACAAACGAGCACACAGTCCACCTGATGGTAAGTGGTTGCTAGTGGTGTGGCCCATAGACATCTACATCTATCTTCGTTTGCGAATTAAAATGCAGATGCGTTGTCAGCCATGAGGACTAAGATAGAATGCCTCTTTTCCAGTTAAATGGGTCTTTGGTTCTCTACACTCACCATACGAAACATAGCAGCATTAAGCTGCTATTTTACATTGGTATTCTGTGAGAACGTGGTCCTTCCCCGGTCGGGCCGACTCATTCGTGCTCCAACTATACTATTAATATAGCTGCAGCATGGCGTGATTTTTTTTTATATGAGACCACGTGATTTTTTTTTATATGAGAGGGGGCAAACGAGCATACGGCTTACCTGATGGTAAGTGACTACCGTCGCCCACGAATAACTGCAACACCAGTGGAATTGCAGATGCGTTGTCGGTCTTTTAAAAAAGTGTAGGCTCTTTTCTTGAAAGTCCCTAAGTCGTGTCGGGCCGGAAAAATTGCTGATGGTGTTCGATTCCACAAGGAAGTTGTGCGAGGAAGAAAATTATTATGAGGTATCTATAAAGTTTTCTCATCTGGTTGGGCAGTATAAATATATAATTGTAAATAAACATGGTACACATACATAAATATCAATGAAATAAATACATAAAAAATACATAAATATATAAAAACCCAATCAGATGGCAGCCCTCGGCAGGGGAGAATCCATTTTGAGCGCGCGACATCACCTGATTTGAGTTCAGGTGACGAGTGATTCTCGCGCTCAAAATGGATGTTAGTGTCTTGTATATGGTAGGTAGACAAAATTCAATCTGGAAGACATTATTCTATAAAATATAATATTATGGAGAGTGTGCGCACAAATACATGATAGATAATATTTCTTTCTCTTCTTTCAACCATCGCACAACATGCACACATCGGCGGGCCTCCATATATTTATTGTTGATATTCCGCGCATTCCAACCAAACGGTTTTTTTGGTTTTTATAATGCGTACAGCAAGGAATTAGAATAATTTGCTGACACCTGTCTTTCCGTCTGCATGCATTCTGGGTGTTTTTAAGGCGAAAGAGAATAGGCTTTTGTAACGTTAAAACTAAGAATTTACCAACTTCAAGTTCATCGCTAGGGATTGCAGTCAAGACCTTACCGTTACCGTCCAGCTTATTAAGGGGCTACTCCATGCGAACGACCTTGAGCATTTTGCCGGCGGCGCGCCGCTCGCTTCAATATATTGCTTAATATGAAATATGTACGACGCCACCTATTGTAGGTAAGAACGTAGTATTATTTTTTCAACATCAATAAACTAATTTATGGAAATACACACAGCGTACAACGATAAATGTATTTTAATTTTTTTATTCGGTATATTAGTTGCATTATATTAGAATTAAAATGTATTTTCATATATTATCTAATTATGAAATTTTATAATTAATTATATATTAAAAATGAAGCATTGAAAATTGTGAGTTTAAAAGATACTTATTCACTATCACTATAGGTAAATAAATAGATAGCTCGCCTTTTGTACAAATATTTGGTGCAATAAAGAATAAATAAATAAATAGAATGTTTCGTAGATGTGTTTTTGATTATTGTTAATTTTTACGTGTCACGTATTGAAAAGTACATACCTACCTACAAATTTTTGAACTGAGCACCTTGTAACTTAGCCTGCTTATTACTTATGCTGGCAGACATTATCCTCGCCCCAATGATTAATGAGGATGAAAATCAATTTTATTTCTACATACGTAATTATATTTATTTATACATAAGGGTAACTTTAATAAAGGTAATACAAAAATCAACAAGAAGTATAAGGGTTCAATCTTTCAATTTCAATTGTAAAAAAACGTTACCCCCCCACTAGGATTTTCTCCTGTGTCGTGGAGACAGTTTACAAACATAAATTGCACAAGGACAAACATCCAGAACCGAAACAATTATTTGTAGGCCATACAAATACTTCGACGACTTCCAGCCTCCCGAACAAGCCGGTTTCCGAAAAGGCTTTAGCACCATAGACCACATACATACCCTTCGGCAAATTGTACAGAAGTCCGAGGAGTACAATTTGCCACTATGTCTGGCGTATGTGGACTATGAGAAAGCCTTTGATTCCGTCGAAATTTGGGCGGTGCTGCAGTCCCTTCAGCGATGCCAAGTTGACTGTCGGTATATCGAAGTGTTGAAGTGCTTGTACAGTAGGGCTACGATGGCTATCCGAGTACAGAACCAGAGTACGAAACCTATCCAATTGCAGAGAGGTGTAAGACAGGGTGACGTCATATCCCCGAAACTCTTCACCGCTGCATTGGAAGATGTTTTCAAGCTTCTGGACTGGAAAGGATACGGTATCAACATTAATGGCGAGTACATCACTCACCTTCGATTTGCCGACGATATAGTCCTTATGGCAGAATCGCTGGAGGACCTAAGCACTATGCTCAATGACCTCAATAGTGTTTCCCAACGGATAGGTCTTAAGATGAACATGGACAAAACAAAGATCATGTTTAATGTCCATGTCACACCTATGCCGGTAGTTGTTGGGAGCACTAAGCTCGAAGTTGTTGACGAGTATGTTTACCTGGGACAAATAGTCCGACTAGGTAAGTCCAACTTCGACCGAGAGGTCAATCGACGGATTCAACTCGGTTGGGCAGCGTTCGGGAAATTACGGCACATCTTCTCGTCAGGTATACCTCAAAACTTGAAAACGAGACTGTACACCCAGTGCGTGTTGCCAGTGATGACATACGGAACTGAGACGTGGTCCTTCACTGCTGGCCGGATGAGGAAGCTCAAGGTCGCTCAGCGAGCTATGGAGAGGGCTATGCTCGGAGTTTCTCTGCGTGATAAACTCAGAAATGAGGATATCCGCAGTAGAACCAGAGTGACCGACATAGCCCAACGGATTAGTAAGCTGAAGTGGCAATGGGCCGGCCATATAGCTCGAAGAACCGACAACCGATGGGGAAGAAAGGTTCTCGAGTGGCAGCCTCGTACCGGCAGGCGAAGTGTAGGGCGTCCCCCCACTAGATGGAGTGACGACCTGGTAAGATTTGCAGGAAGTCGATGGATGCAAGTGGCTCGGGACCGTGCTTTGTGGCATTCTTTGGGGGAGGCCTATGTTCAGCAGTGGACTTTTGAAGGGCTGTAATGATGATGACAAATACTTGTTCCGTGCGAGATTCGAACCCGCGGCCCCCAGCGCAACAACTGATTGCTAAGCCACTGCGCCACGGAGCCGTCGCCGGGTTATAACTAAAGTGACCATACGTCCCGTTTTGAACGGGACTGTCCCTTTTCTCGGTCACCTGTCCCATTGTCCCCAAACAAAGCTCCGGGACACAAAATTGTCCCGTAACTCGTTGGATGGAAGTATTCAAAGTCAACAATCTTCAACATAATTTTTTTTAATCGAATATATTTTATGTCTACCTGGTACGAATGCTCCGGTAGAAAGAGTATTTTTTTATTTTGAATAAATTGTGGACGTCTGAAAGAAACACTTACGGTTCCAGAGTTCTAAAGGCGATGTTGTTAACAAAGATAACAATAAAAAAACTTGAGCGGAATTTTATTCTTATTTAAAATCATCACCAACTTTATTAAAGCAAATTTAATCCACTGACAAATGTAATTAATAATTAAAAAAAATATGTTGCATTTAATAATTACCGTCTATACCGAATATAATTTTATAGTGAACACTAATTGTATAAAGTTATAGTTTTTAGAGTATAAATAAACCCATGTCCTGTTTTGAATTAAAAAATAAATGGTCAGTTTAGTCTTTTTAGTTAAATTTAGTTTTAAAAATTTTTGGTTAATAGTAAAAAGTAGGTATATTAGTACCTACTTAGATACTTTTTACCGAATTATAAGTATAGAACACCTTATGTACTCCATTTATTTTTGAAAAAGAAGAAAAAACAAGCAATAAATAATAAACTATATTTTAGCAAAAAACTATAACTTAGTAATACTAATTATAACTTTATAACTTAGAACATAAATGAAAAACTCATAATTGACTTTTTGGCCCGACCCAGGATTCGAACCCGGGACCTCATGATCAGCAGTCGCACTACTACAACCACTAGACCAACGAGGCAGTACTATACCTAATAAGATATTGTGGTTGTGTGATAATATTGAATTAGCCTTTTATAGTGTAAATTATAATATTTGTCGAAATTTTAATTATGGATTCCAACCTTACATGCTAATGGTGCTTCATTTTTTTATTTGCATTTACTTCAAAGAAAATACACGCAAAAAGCTTCATCGCGCAGTAAAAAACACAACAAATATATGTATAACTAATACGAAAAATTATACCCAAAACAAACAAATAATACGACCTATAAATAACCTAAATAAGTAATAATATTATCGACTGATAAGATGACGTGAGCGTGTGCGCCAAAGAGTATAATAACTGTCCTATACAGGAAAAGAGAGCCCACTCATGCGTAATCTGTCAACCAAGGAGTACTAGCGCCGTCTGGTGTCGTTTCGCCACAATATTGTGAGAATGTGTGCGTGCGTATAACACATACACCTCTACATATACACCTCTGTTCATGGTCATTCATTACGCTTTATGTACTAGGATTAATTATCAACAACCAACTGTGAATTAAACATTTGAAACATTTTTTAAAGACAACTGCATAGTAACTAAATGCTTCAAATGTTTAATTTAACAGTCGGTTGTTAATAATTAATCCTAATACATAAAGTGTGATTCATAATTTGTTAATAGGAATTAACTATGATATTTTTTAACATGAATGAAATTAAACACAAATAATTGGTACATTATTCTATATTTTCTGAACTTAATGAAAATAAAGGAGATATATAAAGATTTAACATAGTTTTGACAATACAACACATAAAACTAATATTTTATTCTAATGTATATATCATTAATACATCAATAACACAGATAGAGAAATTTTATTATTTTTATATACGAATCATAACAAACTTTAACATTACAAAATGTTAAGCTAATACCATAACGGTAAACTAAAACAGCTATGAATCAATCCAAAGCTGTAACCACGCTTGGCAAGTGGGTTGGCAACTACAGTTATAAGGAAGATCAGTCCACCTGCTGATGTGTTTCTCTCTGTCGCCTCTTACGATGACACCCACGGAATGATAATATGGGGTTGCGGATATTCGGAGACCGTCACTACACGGTAATCTAATATTTTTTTACAATAAATGATTCGTAAACACAGCTTTATTATAACAAAATATTAAACAAATGCCTTTAACAATAAATTATCACAAACAAAATATGAAAATAACATTTTTTTTTTAAATAAATAATTCATAAACACAGCTTTGATATAACAAAATATTAAACTGAAAAAATATTAAATGCCTTGGCATATGGTCTGAGACAACTGGTTACTTCGCCGCCTACGCGGATTCCAGATGTGGAGCATCATACACCTTCCCTGTTGGACCTTCTGCTGACCTCTCATCCGGACGGATATTAGGTTTCCGTCGATGCCCTTCTCGGCTCTTCGGACCGATGATTGGCGGTCCATCACTGTGCGATTTAGAAGATGGACCTTCAAGAAAACAGCCTACTCCTTTTTAAAAAGCCGGCAACGCATCTGCAATTCCCCTGGTGTTGCAGTTGGTCATGGGTGGCGGTAGTCACTTACCATCAGGTGAACCGTATGCTCGTATGCCCCTCTTCTATAAAAAAAAAAAACAACTAATGTCTCTAACAATAAATTTTCACAAGACAAAATATGTAAATAACATTTTTTACAATAAATGATTCATAAACACAACTTTGATAGTACAAAATAAGAAATATTTTTATAATAACCCTGCCCCCTCTATTGTATAGGTATATACGAGGGTGGATTGAAAAGTACTCGGCCTAACACAGATCCATTCAATTCTAAAAATCAAATCTATCCACATTATTTAGTTCAGTTCAGACTAGTTCATTGTGTGAAGTTCGAAACGTGTGCGATAATTAGTTGTGATTTTATAAATTTATTAACAAAGTAATCGGGCATAATTTCCGCGAATGGAGCAAATCGAGCAGCGTGCCGTCATTAAGTACCTCCATAAGAAGGGGCTATCATCAAAAGCCATCCATGATGACATGGTCAGTACATTAGGCGATTGTGCTCTGTCATATTCATCCGTCAAAAAATGGATAGCAGAATTTAAGCGTGGTAGAGAGAGTGTGAAAGATGAACCCCGCTCTGGAAGGCCTTCGACGTCAACTACTGACGAAAATATTAAAAAAGTACTTGATTTAATAATGGGAGACCGCAGATTAAAAATTAGAGAGATAGCCGAGATTATAGGCATCTCTTATGAACGAACTCAAAACATCTTTGTCAACGAGTTGGGTTTCCACAAGGTGTCTGCGAGGTGGGTTCCGCGACTGCTTTCAGTTGAACAAAAAAGGACGCGATTGACTATTTCACGCGACTGTTTGGAGTTATTTGAAGCCGATGCAGATGATTTTTTGAATCGTTTTTTTACTATGGACGAAACATGGGTTCATTACTGTACACCGGAAACAAAACAACAATCAAAACAGTGGAGAAGACCTGGTTCACCACCCCCTAGCCCCGAGGCTAAGTCGATTTTGTCGGCAAATAAGGTGATGGCTTCAGTATTCTGGGACTCGAAAGGTGAGATTATGATTGATTATCTTGAAAGGGGTCAGAATATAAACTCTGATTACTACTGCACCTTACTACGTCGTTTACGAGAGGAAATAAAAGAAAAACGTCGAGGAATACTCAGAAGAAAAGTCCTGTTTCATCAAGATAACGCCCGTGTTCACACGTCAGTACAATCAATGGCTGAAATTCACAACTGTGGCTTTGAACTGTTACCGCATCCGCCGTATTCACCTGATCTGGCACCATCAGACTTCTTTCTGTTCCCTAACCTAAAAAAGCACTTGGGAGGTCAAAGATTTTCGACAAACGACGAGGTCAAAGCAGCTGTAGACGCATATTTTGACTCTAAGGAAGAATCATTTTTTTTCAACAGTCTAAATGCTTGGAAGGGGAGGTGGCAAAAGTGTATTGAACTTGATGGTGATTATGTAGAAAAATAAAAATATAACTGATTTAGTATTTGTTTATTTTCTTGGTTAGGCCGAGTACTTTTCAATCCACCCTCGTAAAATGGCCGTCTATAAAATATAACTATATTAAAATGAATAATATACGTGATCAGATAATCAATATATTGATCTTTCTAAAGGTCTAGATATAGGCTGTTATTCATTATTAATTAATACCTTCCCGTTTGGAAAAGGCTTACAATATTTATATTAAAATACCAGATACAAGGACTTCGCTCACTCATATTTTTAAAAAATGTGGGGGAGGCACACGGCTTCACAGACGCCAACGCCGTGTGCGGTGAGCGCCAACCAACCAACGCGTTCCACCCGAAAAGGAACTAGAAGTTGGGACTAGACAGTAGTCCACAGCAAAATAACTGGCGAAAAATAAAAAGAGGGCTTGGTCCCTTGTTATTCATAACAGCTTTGACAATAGAAAATATGAAATAATATTTGTATAATTAAATAAGTGATTCATCACAACACAGCTTCGACAATCGCCTCATAGAAGAGATATTTACCATAGTTGCAACGCTTGGCAAGCGAGTTGCCAACCGCAGCTTTTAAATTTAGTCGTTATTAGGAAGGAACTGCTGTCCATCTTCTGATTTGTTTCCCTCTTTCGCCTCTTTAGACACCCACGGGATGATATGGACTGGTAGATATTCTTACTGCGCCACACACAAACTAACATTTTTACAATAAACAATTCATATAACACAGCATTCACAATACAAAATATGAAACTAATATTTTAACAATAAATGATTCTTAACAGCTTAGACAATACAAATTATGAAACCAATATATCTATAATAAGTTATTCTTAACAGCTTTCACAATACAAACTATTAAAATATTTTTTATGAGATACGATTCTTAACAGCTATAACAAAACAAAGTACAAAATTAATATTTATTACAATAAATGATTCTAAGCAACTATAACAAAACCTTCGCTGCGAATGTCATCCTTTTGGTGATCTTCTCAAATGCTACTTGATTACTCATTTATTCTACATTTGATAGACGAGTCCTAAAATCTTTTATAGTTTTTCTAGACTTCTTTAATTTAAATTTTAAGTCTTCGCGCATGCTTTTGTAACAACTTCTAATTCTTAGGGTAGTATCCGATTTCGTCTGTTTATCTGAAAATGTTTAATTTATACATTAGCTTTTTCAAATTGGAATTTACAATGTAGAAATTTGCAATAAATGTTGTAAAATTATATATTTTAGTATAGGATATTCATATACTAGACTATATTTGCTTCCTTACCAAGCAACTTGTTAGAACATATTGTTTCATACTAAAATATAAGGAATTAAATATTTGATAGCTTTTTTTTTAAATATTACCTCCACACTAGGATTTTCTCCTGTATCGTGGGGTCATTTTAGATACATAATTTTCACAAGGACAAACATCCAGACCCGGGACAATTATTTGTAGGCCATACAAATACTTGTTCCGTGCGAGATTCGAACCCACGGCCCTTAGCGTTGTGACTTATTGCTAAGCCACTTCGCCACGGAGCCGCCAAAAACCTTATACAAAAAAATTATTTGTAATTATAAAATAAAAAAAAATTAATGTATGTACACAAGAACAAACATAGTTTTATGTAAAAATTGTGATGTACATTCTGTAAATACTAGAAACAAGCACAAGTTAGTTATACAAGTTACTAGAGTCCAAAGAGCCAGTAATTCCATCATGGATTCATGGGGCAATGTATACACTTAGGCCCCAGAAAATATGCAGGCCTTATCTATCAAAATTTTAAAATTTTTATTAAGCATAAATTGTTTAATATATAATATAAAGATTTATTATGCTACTAAAGTGTACATGATTGATAAATAACCCCTGGCAATGGGGTGATCACTACCATGAATAAAATAGAATAGAATGGAATAATTTTTATTCAATATTGATTATTACATAATACTTATTGAAAGTCATTTTTTATTTACCACTGGTTCGTTGCATGCTGTTTCTGTTTTCATACTAATTGTATACAATACTTCAAAAAAGAAAAGGCCCACAGGCCTTCTTGCTGGTTCCTCCAGGACAAAGGCTGTTTTGGAACCAGTAGTAGTAATAGTAAAAATTTACTTTCAATAAGAATTACATGTAATGTATATGTTAAAAATGATTCTATGGCATTCTATTCTTATATACTATAACTTTATTAACATTTGTCTGTGATGTTAAAGGCTGGTCATGTGGATGCAGACTGGGCAGTAAGTCAGGAAAGGGTGTTTTGATAAAATGGTAATACACTTAAATAGCTATGTAAAACAGTAGTTAGTACAATACTGCTCTTTCACTAAGGTTTTAATTTTTTTTAATTACTTCATTGCATAGTAAAAGATGTTATTGCTTTTAAAAGTAGCATTTTTATATTTTTGTTAGAGCATGATGAGCAGTATGCATTAAATAGTGGAGAAAGGAACAAAAATGTAGTTAACTTACATGTTTTATTTGTAAAACTTTAGCAGTGAGGTCAAAAATCACATATTTGTTCTAATTATTTGCCATAACAATTCTTAAAAATAGAAAACTTCTCTAAAAATATACATCTTAGCAAAACTTAAAGACTTAATTATAGAGACCAAAAATTATAATGTTTATAATTATAGTGCTATTTGGCACAAAATTATTCTCATTAACTTACAAACAACATGAAAAAGCTTAAAATTGTTTCAAAAAGACTTCTCCAAAAAGCACCTTAATGAAAAACAATACTTAGATATAATTAAGAAACACTGATAAGCCAAATTTTAGAATCAGTGTTACCTGGGAGATTATACCAACTTATGCTGTTTCAAAAATTAGCCTAAATTTTATCACATTCACCGATCATATCTATTACCATTTAATTGCAGTGTTTAATTTTCTGTGCCTTATTCCACGTTTGCTAAATTTTCAACATTATTATTAACACACAACCCAAAAAAGTTATCTTTTTCATTTCGTTAGTAATGCCTCTTTCAGAAAGTCTAGTACACGGTTAAGGTATTTCTTTTCATTTGTGGATTTTCACTGGTAAAAAAGTTTACTGGAAGTATTCTCTTTGTGGCAAATTTTATACAGAAGCACAGAATACATAATAGTATAGGGCACAGAAAATTCACTCCGTAAAATCATTTAAATAAATAGTGACTCTTGCTATGCATGGGAAAGCACCAGCATCCAAATAAAAAAGAATCATCTGTGCCGGACGGGCGAAACTCTCCGGAGTAAATGTTGTCGGAGATACCCCGCGAGTCGCTCACGTCCTACACCTGTAGGTTCCAGACTCCTCCAACTGCCGTCTTTTACTGCCGTTTCTTTGGTTGCTGCGGATAAACTGTGGACTGAGGTTCAAAATTAAAATGCACGATTTGTAAATTAAAATAGCAAGGGGGTGGCCAGCGGATCGACTAATTAATTTGTCGCGAGATTTTACACTGTTATTTATTTATCACTATTTTTCAACTATGATTGTTCACTATATATTTTAAAACACAGATTTAATTAAACACACAGTAATATTAAAATTTCTATTGGTTTTCTAAAATTTCTATTCGTATTTTTAAAAATATCTGTTGGTAATATTAAATTTCTATTGGCAGTAACAAGTTTCTATTGGTATTCTCTACAATTTCTATTGGTAATTTTAAATATCTATTGAAAGTAACAAATTTCTATTGGTAGTATCCAAAATTTCTATTGGTAGCAGCTGGTTTTCTAACACTACTGACTAGCAGCTATTAATCAACTAAAATTAGTTGAATTTAAACACTTTTGTAACTGCGAATATCAGTTACCACTTTTTCCGTCTAGCTAACACTTTTCACGAAATGTAACGGCGAAATTTCCGTTACCACTTTTTTCAGCTAGCCAACACTTTTTCACTATATGTAACTGCGAATATCAGTTACCACTATTTTTGGCTAGCTGACACTATTTTTCTATGTGCAACTGAGAATTTTCAGTTGCCACTTTTTTCGACTATGTGTAACTGCGATTTTTCAGTTACGACCTTTTTCGGCTAGCTAAACTTTTCTATTTCACTTTAACTTTTCACTGTGTTCTGCTACTAGTCACTTCAGCTACTACCGGATACTGCTGCTTGTTACTGGTAGTTCTTCCTACTACAATGTTACTATGATTTGCCCCCATAAGGTAGACTTCGGCTATACTCTATAGAGAGCCGCTTGCCAATTCCCATTTGCCTCTTTATTTTCAATCATTTTTCTTTATGCAAATGGCACAAATTGCAACTTTTCTATATAATACAAATCTTAACTCTAACATGCTATACATCATTAAATAGACATTTTTGTTCTACATTAGTATGCGATAAAGGATAATTAATATATTTACATTTAACAAAGTTATTCATTGAAATGTCCTAAACTTTTACACTAATTGGTCATATTAATTCTTTAATTATCCTATAACTTTTAAATCGTGCTTAATTATACAAAATATTTCTTTATTATAACGATCTATACATCATATGCTAACTAAATACCATATTTACAACTCTTTTCAGACATAAAATTATTCTCATTAATTTTTGCTTAAAACTATTACGCAGTTAATTTAAATTTCCAGAAAGTTCTATAGCGCGGCGCGCTGTGATTGGTCGATATTTTCTTAAACAAAATAAAGTTGTTTATATTAACTATTGTCAAATCGACCTTCTATACAAACATATTGAGAGTTGTAAATACATGGTAAAACTATATTTAATACATTATTTAGTCAATTTTTCCGTATTTTCATTTTTTAAACAAATAAATATTCCTTAATCACTTTCTCGTTTAAAGTCATTTTTGCCGTTGTGAACAGTCATTTTGGCCGTCTCGAACATTTCTCCCGCCGTGCAGCGTCGCGAAGACCCGTCGCAGCGGCGCTGCATAATTTCGGTGAGAGACGTTGCCTCTACTTCGGCAGCGGCACGAGTTTTCTGGTTGGCCTCTTGATTAGTCCATTCGCTGTGCGTACCTCCACAGTGCGGATCTGTCCGTCCGCCCCGGGGTATATGTTTTCAATCCTTCCTCGTGGCCAGGTGTTACGAGGTAACTGGCTGTCAGCTATGAGGACTGGATCGCCCACCTGGAGATCGGGGCCTTGACCGTGGGCCTCCCGCCGGTTTTGAAGTTCCGGCAGATATTCTTTGACCCAACGCTGCCAGAACATGTCAGCGAGTATCTGGGAGCGTCGCCAGTGTTTTTTGCTGTTCGCATCTTTTTCACTAAAAACTCCAGGTGATGGCAGTCTCGCAGATCCTCCCAATAGGAAGTGATTTGGAGTGATGGACTCGTTGTCTTTGCTGTCTACTGAGATGTGAGTCAATGGTCTGCTGTTTACTGTATATTCCACCTCGCAGAGCAGCGTGGTCAAGACATCTTCGTGCGGATGTCTCTCATGAAGGACGGTGTATAGTGCCGTCTTCACGCATCGAACAAGCCGTTCCCACACCCCTCCCATGAAAGGCGCGGAGGGGGTTATAAATCGCCAGACTATGCCTCGTCGGCTGGCTTCTTCTCGGAAGGCCTCTCGAAGCTCCTTGTCGGCACCGTGCATATTGGTGCCGTTGTCCGAGTAAATCTCGGTGGGACATCCTCGGCGCGCTGCGAATCTTCTTAATGCCAGTATGGCAGAGTCTGCGCTGAGATCTTTCACAATTTCCAAATGTACAGCTCGTGATGTAAGGCAGGTGAAGAGCGCCACGTATCTCTTCTGATGCTGACGTCCCACTGTTACGGAGAGTGGCCCAAAATAATCCAGGCCGGTGAACGTGAACGGTCTCTGGTGATGTGCGAGACGCGTGCTGGGATGATCACCGGTGGCTGGCATGGATGGTTGTGCCTTTCTTATGCGGCACTGAACGCATTGGCTTACTATTCTTTTAGTAGTGGGTCTTAGTCTGATTACCCAGTAATGCTGTCGAACCTCGTTGATGGTTGGTTCGGTCCCGCAATGATGCAGGCTACGATGCGTCCAATCAATATACAATTGGGTGATGTGATGATCACCATCCAATATAGCGGGCCCTTTCATATCTTCAGAGACTCCTTTTACAGCGGCTATTCGACTTCGTAGCGCAATGATCCCGTCTTTCAATTGTATCTGTAGTGGTCGTAGGCG